TTTTTTTTTCCCCTCAATCAAATAAGTTTGGTGAAACCTCTACAAAGAACTTTTGTTACTTCACCAAGTAGGTTTCTAGTAACTGTACAGGTCAATTGAAAATATTCAGATATGTTAGTTGCAAAACTGCAAGATCTAATCTTTCCTTCTTTAGGATCGTATAAATCCAGGAGGGTGAATTTACTCTATAGTCAGTTTCAGAAAAGTAACTTGAACTGGTTAAGTAAACAAAAACAAATTTAAAACTTTAATAGTGAGTAGTATGGATATATTAGATAGGAAAGCCTGACAAACTTATAAATATTAATGGATTTTTAAACATTATTTACATTTCTTTTATTTTGGCAAATTTCTGAAATGAGCATTTTCTTCCAAAGTTTATGTAGCTTCGAAATGCCATTTTGATATTTGGGCTCGTATCAGAATGTTAAAGATGCCACAGGACTGACTCACCTTAATTCTGTGTTACTTCTTATCATTATTTGCAGTTTAGCTTATCAGTAATGCTGGTTTATTAGCAGTCTTAGTTCCAGATGAAATAACCACAGCAGTAAAGTATCCCCGTTTCCCCGGCATGGAGCATTTAATTAAGTTCCTAGAATAACTCTGGGTGATAAGCATTCATCTTCACAGCTCCGGGGTCCCTGCGGTTCAGTTGGAACACTCAGAAGTCATGGGGTGTTCAGGCATTTTCCAAAGCTGGGACATGGTTGATATTTAAGCCAGTCGATTTATTGAGAATTCACTGTGTACCAACAAGGGAGTAGATGTTCTGGGAGATACAGGAAAATCTGAAACAAGCCTCTGTCCACTTGGCGCCTTTATAGTCAACTTGGACAGCGCCCCACTCAAGCTGTTTTCTGGGCAGCCTCTGGGAGCCCTTTACTAGGCGCCCACTCTCCAGGCCCTCTTGGCCAGAGACGAAGAATGGGATGTCCCTGCCGGGACTGTGGGTGCCCTTGCTGGAAAATTCTGAAGGAACCACTCAGACATTCAGCCCCCTCCCTACTCAGACTTGGGGCACATTGGAAGAGGCTGGATTTCCAGGTCCATTTTCTTCTCTGAGAAACTCTGGGTTTGATTTTGCTGGGTCCTAGTCCTAGGTGTCCGCCTGCTCGAGGCTCTTGGCAGCCTTGCCTCCTCACTAGTCCAGCGTTTCTCTTTGTGCCCAGCCTTTGTTGGCAGTGGTAGTATTCCAGAAACTTCCCAGGGCTAGGTTATTGGTCTCCCTTTCCTGTGCCTGCTGAGTCTTCTCTGCTCACCCTGCCCTGTTACTTTAAAGAGTCTCCCTCTTCAGTGTGCTATGTGAATCCCTCCTGGGGACTCATCACTGCTTTCCCTGGGCACTCGCAGCTCACACTGAAAGCCAGCACACACCATGCCTTTCCACAGAGAGTAAATGCTTAGACTTCAGTGGCTATTTTTCTCAGAAATAATCCACAAACATTTAAGAGAATCTTAGTTCGTTTTACATTTTGTGATTCAAAGTTGCTTAATTTTAAATCGTCCTAATAATTTCCAAATAGGATATAGTGTTTTCTTAAGAAACACCTATAACCATGTGTGGGTGGCTCTGAAGCCTTTTTTAAAAGTGTCGTATCCCGTCGTTTTTACAGACATCCATGACCTGTCCAGGAAAGCCCCCTTCTCCTCCTGTGCAGAGGAGGCCTCCTGGCCAGCAGCAGCCCCCTCCTCTCATAATGCCTCCTGCTCTGAAAACCTGCCGCTGCTGGACGCCCTGCCCCCCGCCACAGTGGCCACTGTAGTCGGAGGAGGGCAGTCTCATTTGGCTGGGCAGCTCTGTGTTACCAACCCATCAGGCTGATGGAGTCAGCTCCAGGTGAGTTTCCTGTCATTCTTACCTTTTACCACCTTTTATCTGTTCTTTCCAGAAAAAACAAACAAACAAACAAAACGACAGGAACTTCACTTAAGAGCTGCTTGGGAGGGTAGAAGGCTGGGCTTTGGGGCAGGAGGGAGATAGGCAGAAAGGGTTAGACTTCCTTTCACCTTTCAAGTGTAACCAGATTGCTAAATTTTCTTTTTCTTTTTTTGTTCCCCCATTACAAAGAGGCCAATTGTTATATGTTAAATACTTTTTAAAATATTTCACTCATTTGAAATATATTAAAGTACAGGCTAGAAGAAAGAGGTTTGGTTTCTAACTAAAAAGAAAAAGACCGAAGGTACTACTGAGTCTTCAAGTCTACCTTTGAAACCTAGGAAATAAACGTAATTTTGATATGTGTTCAGAATAGGAAGTAGTATTTTAGGTGGTAGCAAATGCTCTAGTAAATGCACATAAAGTGGGGGAAGGAGAAAGGGAGAGGTGACAACTTGAAGGTGGTGAAGAAGCAATCTTGTAGACATTTAGAGGGAGAATCCATGTAGGCAAAGGGAATGAGTAGCCATGCAAAGGCCCTGGGGCAGAAGATTGCTAGTATATGTTTCAGGATAAGAGGTAAACCCGTGTGTCTGACAAAGAGGGAGCTGGGTGAGAGTCATAGTGAAGTGAAGGGGGTAACGGGGCCATGTAGAGCCTGGTCAGCCATCATAAAGATGTCAGTTCCTATTCAGCAGTGTAGAAGTTCATATTTAACAGTGTAAAAGGGAACTAGAGTCTCTTTGGAACAATATGTAGAGCATTTTAAAACTTTTCTACTGGAGTCATCTCCTGTCGTAGTATCTTCTTACTTAGTGAGGTATTCGTCGAGTCTTCAATTTTCTTCTCAAAAATAGTACGTAAGATGTGAAAAAACCTAAACATTTTCTTGTAGATTGAAGATGCCGAGATGTAATTGAAGTGGGGAAGGCAGCCAGAAACTTTCACAAGATAAACAACGAAATCAAAGTGCCAGTGTTTAGTCATAGACTTGCAAACCTGATTACACAAACATCCTTGTAAGGCACCTTATAATTTATAAAACATTCTCAAATGGTATTTAATCCTCAGAACCTCCTTGGAGGGCAGGTTCTTGTTGTTTTTTTAAGGAAAAACCCAAGGGTGGAGAGATCTACTGTGGGCGTGCCATGCTGGCGAGCCTTTCCAGGCCTGTAGGGGGGCACTGCTCGGGGAGGCCTGCTGCTACCTGGTTCTCTGTCTTCAAAAAAATAAAAATAAAGTCCAGGGACAAACCCTGGACAGACAGATATCTCGGAGCTGTGTCAGTGACCTGTCACTCCTAGCCCTCCCTGACCCAGGGTCTTCTGAACATTCGCTTTCCCGTCAGGGCTGCTAAATTCAGGCTGTCCAGCACATTGATTTGATTCTTACGCTGACTTAGAAACTAAAATGATAGGTTGTTTATTAGCCTGTGTATTTCATAGAAATTCCACCTGAAGAGCGCTAATGGAGTGAGTTCGGAGCTGAGGGTGTAAGACTTGAGCAACGCTAGTGCACTGCTGGTAAAAGACCCCCCCACTCTCCTTTTAGCCCGCCGGTGAGGAAGGTGCACATTTAATCAGTGACTTGGGTCAGCTCTGTCTCTTATCTGCACCAGAGGAATGTAAATGTCCATCTCTATTTTGGTGCATCTTTGTGTAGAAGCTGGAGGAAACAGAGAGGCAGTGCCCTGTGGCCCCAACTAATCAGAGCTCAGCGAGTTGGTGACCCATCCTGCTCTCTGGGCACATGTGACATGAAGAGGAATTTGTCATTCTCTTTCTGTGCAGCTGCCTGCCCAGGGACACATGCCTCCCCTGTCCGGCGTTTTGTCCCGTTCACAGGGTGTGAAGAAAGCGGCTGGGCCAGGCTCTGTGTGCAGCGTTTGAGAACTATTAGCTTTACATGGCCTAGAGTTACCCCCAGAAAAACAATTCTACTTCTGTTCTGCTTCTCTCCCATTAAAACAAGTTTATTCATTTTATTCCGGGAGCTATTTGCCATTGTTATTGTGTATTCATCAGTTGTTTGTGTGCTGCTGAATTTGCAGTTGTTCGTGATGTCATTCATGGATATAATTTTGAATGAAGAAAAAGCTGTGGTGGCAAATGTGCTCAGAGATACCACGGCCGTGGCTCCACAAATTAGCCCAAAGAGCGGGGTGGGAGGGGCAGGCTTTCCTTGGCAGCAGAGGGCTGCCCGCGTTTAAGAAGCCTTTGTAGTTCAAAACAAAACATGTGGTTACATGTGTACATCATTTAAAGGTGCACAAAAAAAGCAAAAGGATCAACCACAAGATGCGAGTCATGCCAGTAGCATGTGCTTTGCGGCACATGGAAAAAAAAGTATCGTTTGCATTATTTACTTACAAATTTTAATAAAATTTCATTTGGTAGTTTCATAATGACCCAGTGAAAAATTCAGGGCAAGAGGATAATGTCCCTATTAACCGGCCGGTGTGGTGGTTCCTGGGCCCCGGGACCGTAAGTCTGGTGGGGCCGGTGGCTTTCCACACCCACGTCTGCTTGAGCCATGGGACTGGCATGCGGTTTTAAGGTGTGGGAACAGCTTGCCCTGAGTCATTCCTAAGCTCCCAGGAATGCTTTTGTGGTGACTGATGATGGAATGAGCTCTCCGACCTGTGCCGGGGCAAAGAGAGTGTGCACTTCAATTCCTGAGTAAGGTTTGACCTTCAGCCTTGACCTTACTGGTAGATCTTAAAGGGTGCCCATTTGCACAAGGGCTTTTAAATTAGATACAGTCTTCCTCCCAAGAGACAAAGCTGACATCCTGTATTATGCAGATGTTACAGACTGTAGTCGGGGAGGGAATTTACCTGCAGTTTGGAAGCAGAGGCTGCTCAGGCCACTGCGTTTGTGCCCAGTGGAAGCTCAGTATATGGAAGGAGGACTGGCCCTCTCACTGGCTCAGTGGGGTAGGGAAAAGGGGGAGGCAGTGGATTATAATGTTTTTCCCTTTTTCCTATAATCTTTTTTTCCCCTGTAGTGAAAGACAAGCACTTCACTGTACCTATTTTTAATACATTTTCAAATTACCGCATTTTTGTTAAATGTGAAAAACATTATATTTTAGAATCCCAAGGGTATACCTTTTAAAGTGTACTCATGAGTATATTACTTATTCAGTGATATTATAGGGGGTGTTTGAGTTGTGTTGGGCATAATTTCAGACTTCAGAAAATGTTTATTTCTATTTCAGTGGTAAAAACAAAAAGGAACTGAATCATGAAACTAAAAAAGCAAAAAATGTAATAGCAACTCTTAAGTATTTTAACATTTGAAAGAAAGAAAGGCTCATTTTTAATGATATATAACAAAAAGCTCTTGGGGATGGGTATATGTTGAATAAATTGTTATTCTAATTACCTAATTTCATAGGAAAAACATTCAGGTTTGAGAATTTCAGATATAAGCAACATAAACATTTTTATAGCATAAATAAAATACAGAATTTTTACATTGGTATAAAATCCTAAGCATAATGTATTAAATCTGAAGAAAGTATTACACCACACGTAGGATATTTGCAGTGTTTAGGCAAGTTGTTGTTGCTTGGTCCAAATATTCTTATTGTTTTGTGTATTGTTACACTTTCAAATGACCAAAGAAAGAGAAAAGATTTGGGCCCTTTTGAATTGCAGATCTGATGTGAGTAGCAGTGTGGGATATATTTAGTAATAATCAGAGTTATTCAGTGCTTTTGTGTTATGCATGAGAAACCACCTAGAAGAACCATAAGTTAGGGACATTAATTCCAAAAGCGTGCCGGCCTCATAAATGATTTCATGACTTGCTTCCTCCTTTTCAGTAGGGTCTGTAACCGGATAGCATGGTTTTTAGTAGATAGTATTGCATTTCTAAAGGATGTAAGCCTGCAGATAATTTTCAAAGGGTATCAGTTAGTCTCCAGGTGTAATATACAGATAGAAATATACAGTGTTGTTTTGACAAATTAGTCTTCCTTTCTCCTCATTGTCTTCCTTATGTCGAGGGGCATACAGTCTTTGTCACAACTGCTCAACTCTGCTATTAAAGCGTGAAAGCGGTCATATGCAGATGAACAAGTGTGGCTGGGTTCCAATAAAACTTTATTTGTAGAAACAGGCAACAGGCCAGGTCTGGCCGTATTTGCTGACCTCTGTCTTAGAATGCCACTCTCATTCTTTTAAGGTCTTTTCTCTTGGGCCTCAGACAGTTCTAAAGTTTTGTTCTCCTTTAGAAATTTTTTTTAGCCTTTCTGCCTATGAGACATGGTATAAACCACATGGGTTTTTGTTTCAATTTAATTCAACAAGGCTTTGTAAGGACCAAACAAGCATTGTGCCAGACGCTGAGGACAGGCATGGTCCAACTCCTCGACAAGTAGGGGAGACAGATGCACAAAGCAGAAATTCATTGTCTGGGCAGTGTTTTGTGTCATTGGGGAGAGTTTTATAAAGAGCTAATAGTACCATGTAAATGTTTAAACTCTGGGTCCCCAAGTGGAAATTCCAGACGTCCCCCCCTGTCCTACTCACCCTTTCATCATTTGCAGAAATTGACAGTAGTGGCCCCAAGTGGAGCAGCGAGGAGGGTTCTGGGGGAGGTTATGGACTTTCCTTCCCTGCTGACCAGCTGCAAGGCTTTGGGCAAATCACTGATGCTCCCTCACCTAGGCTTTACCTAGAAAGGTTTAACATTTTATTATTTAACAGAAGAGTCCACCAGCAATTCAGGGGGCATTTTTGCCTCTTGGGTGTTTGTGTTGAAAAATAATAATATTTCTCCTATGATGTTGGACACCGCTGCTGCAGGTGTGGTAGGAAACCCTTGCCATAGAAGAGTAGCTTAAAGGACACATACACCAGGCTCTTTAATAACAAGCATAGAAAAGAAATGAATACTTAGGCATTTTGATATAAAGTCGGCTGAAGCTCTGCACTATAAAATTAACACAGG